TGACTATGAGTGGGAAGAATACTATACAAGGAGGCCAGTATGGCCGTGGAGGATAGGTTCTTCACGCTTTGTTCTAAGTACTTTTCCTCCTTCGTTCACCCCATGTCACAACATGAAGGTTTGGTGTCAGTCCAATCCGAGCCCTTGATTTCTATCTCATGATAGGCTTCAAGTCTTTAACTTCAATCACCTTTTGAGGGCATCGTTGTTAATTCCTCCCCTACGATTGCTGGAAGTTCTTTCTTCCTCCTACCTATCTTTGCTTTTGTTCGTTTACATCACCTCCTCACGGTCGCAATGGCTAAGCGAGCCTCTGTCCCTTCTGCCATGTCTGCTTTACGTTCATCGGTGGTTCTATCTCATGCCGTTGAGAAGAACTTCGCCCTGGAGGCTGAAGTCACTCGCCTTCGGCATCACATCTGCGTCCTTTCTCTGTGATTTTATCGCACTGAGAAGCAGATATCTACCTTGTCGGCTCCCCTGGCATCTGAACGCGATACTGTTCGCCCTTTGGTCCCGATTTTGGCGGCTGAAGCTCCTATGGTTATCCCCTCTTCGAATATCCCTTAAGTCGTTTTGGTTACTACGGTAGTCTCAGTTGCGGGGGTGGGCTAGACCATGAGAGTTATCAGGATCAAGCGGAGGAGCTCTTTCAGGAGATTGTTTCGCCGACGGTTATCCCTGCCCCCCCTGCAGCTATGGTTTTGGATGGTGGTGTGGGTAGTCCTGTTCCTGATTTGTCAGGATTGGAGAAGACGCTTGCTCCTTGTGTGAGTAGGGTGGATCCTGGTGTGGTGACACTAGCTACGGTGGTATCAGCCCCTTTAGGGGGGCAGGCGCCTGAGTCCTCAGTGGCTGAGCCCGTGGCTGGTCGGGGAAGCGCCTCTAGTGGTGTCCCTCCTGTGGTGGTGGGTGGTGATAACGGTGGCCCGTCCACTCCTGTTGCTAGACCTGCACCCGGGGGTAGGAAGAGGAAGAGAAACAAGAAGCGCCGGATCAAGCAAGATCAGACCTCACCTGTGCCACCTGTTTCCAACTCGGAACGGTCATCGACTTCGCCAATTCGCTCTCGCAAACCGGCTGCTGCAAGGTCCATGGTAGGTTCATCACCTGCAGAGCTGGCTTGGGAGTTGGAGGATGAGTTGAATACTTGGGTGTGTTCAGTCAGGTGCGGGCGGCTCGGAGACTCTCTCGTTCTGGCTGCTTCCGTCGAGGTTTTTGGACAGCGCTGCCGGTGTGGTGCACCCAGGATTCTCTACGACGGTTCGTACCCCCTCAGTTAGGCAGCCCTCGCCCTGTAAGTCGGCTTTCCTGTTGGGTTTATGCGCTTGGGTTTTGGGTGTTTGTTTTGTTTGGAATTGGGGGAGGGTGCCTGGTGGTTGGCGGGGATGTCCCGCGATCATTGAGTAGGGGCATTCATGAGGGTTTCTACTGTGGAGGGGGTTATTGCGGAGTCACATTTAGGTGGCGGTAGTGGAACTTTTGTATTTTGTACGGGTAACTTGGCTGGCGGGCAGGCTGGGCTGAGGAGGACTTTCTTTACCGATGATGGTTTTTGTACTTGGTATTCGTGTTAGGGTATGGCACGGGCATGTTTGAGGTGTGGGGCGGGAGGTTTAGTTATCTTGTAGTTAGTAGTATCCGGGATGCGACAACCTGGGGGCCCGGCCCTGGGGCTCGTCGTATGCTAGTGTTGGCGCTACGAGTTTAAATAAAATTAGATTGACTTCTAAGTATTTTTCCTACTTATTACTTTAACAAATATAAAACATCTTTACGCTCTTTAGCTTTCTTGCCACTATTATCAACACAATGAAATAGCTCTTCACGACGAAGAGTTAGGGAAAGCTTACGATAGGCTTTCCCAATAGGAGACAGAGGTCTTGTACTATCGGTAAGGCAGGCATAGGCCTAGCGCTATCATAAGATTAAGAAGAAGAAGAAGAAGAGAATTATTGTTCCCCGTTGCCAAGAACTAACTGTCCAAAGAGGGATTGTTACATTACAAAGTGTCACCTAGTACAATGCTAAACAATTCAAGATGGCTTCCTTCAACCCAGATAGGGAAGGAGACCTTGACATTGATGATCAGAATCTCAACCTAGGAGGATTTAGCGATGCCCTAGATTAGGTTTCAGCTGAGCCCTCCATCGTAGCAAGTCCAGTTACTCCAGATAACGGATCACCAGTCGATAGCTCTCTTACAGGAACCTCACGACCTGAAAGAATGTCAGAATCAGCAGTACCATTGCCACCAGCCCCGGCCACTCCAACACTCAGTACCAGTGTACTTGGAATGACTGAATATCAGTTCCAAATATTTCTCGCAGTAACAAGAAATACAGGCCAAGAAAATGTCCAATAGCCAAAAGCCAAACAACCCGACACATACGAAGGAGCCGAAGATAAGCTAAGAATATTCCTAGCATAATTCGAAGGATACTTTGCCATCAAGAGATATGGAAAACACCACGACGAAATGAAGATTCCATTTGTGGAATCCCTATTGAGAGGGCTTACGGGATAATAGATTATGCCCTTCCAAGGTGGAAGAAAGCAAAGAAAATCAGTCACATATGCGGAGTTCAAGACAACCCTCTTTGAACAGTTTGGCGACCCAAACGCCAAAGAGACAACAAGATGGAAGTTGGAAGATCTCCAACAAGGAAAACAGACATATTCGCCATACTGCAACGAATGTCAACTATTGGAATACGAGGCAGAATTCAACAATGCCACCCTGTATATCATCTTGCTCAGAAACTGGAGCGAGAGACTACGTGCTGCGTGGAAAGTTTCTGACCTACATTACAGAACCACAGAACGATTCCCAAGATGGGCGATTGACAAGGAAAGCAAACTGAACATAGTCTGAAACAATTTGGAAAACACTAAAGCACACAGAGTGGTTGAATTACCCAGGAATGTAGATGGAACTTTTAGACCACAAGCAGCTCAAAGCGAAAGTAGAATGTTACCACCCGGCAAACCAAGGTAGATCGACAAATCTAGGACAGTACCGGCTCTAAACCTGTCAAAAGATGAATATGCTAGAAGGATGAATGGGAAACTCTGCTTGAGGTGCGGAAAAGCAGGATATCGGATAACAGAATGCCAAAGCCAACCCGATAACAGGTACCAGGAGATAAAGGCAGCTGGAAATAATCCATTCCAATTGCAGAAGAAAAGCAACATCAGCGAGATGATTGCAGAGGACCTATCGGCGGAAAATCACCAGGGTCCCCAGTAAATTGTGGTCTGGGAGACCCAAGATGAGGACCGGGAAAACCCATCAAGTTAGCAAACTGCTACAGGGCACTACACACACAACGAGGAGTGGGAAATGGAGATCATGTGATGATTATGACCAACATATACAATGAAGGAAATCAAGAAATAACAATATATGCAATGCTCAACTTGGGGGCCACAGAATATTTCATTAACAAGGAAATCTGTGACAAGTACAGCCTCCACACCAATAAAGCGAAGAAAGAAAGACAGGTCTACTTAGCGGATTGAAAACCAAGTGCAATGGGTCCTATAACCCATACTGTGGAAGTACCTATGGACATTGACAGCTATAGGGAAATGGTGATCTTCCAGGTAGCAGACCTCAAGAACCATGAGATAGTCCTAGGAATGCCATAATTACAAAGACATAACCCAACAATTGATTCGAAAGAGAAGAAGATGACCTTTACAAGCGAACTATGTGCGACACAATATGTCAACAGTTTGTCTGTGGTCTACTTAACACCAATACGGGAATTGGAAGAAGAAGCCTTTCATGCAAGGTTTGCCGAAATACAGAACTACAAAAGAGTCCGGATACAAAGACTGGACCAAGAGGCAAAAGTGTCTACCAAGTGTTCCAAAAGGGCAGCAGGACACAACCTATATGCCAATGGGAGGACCAAGATACCTGCCAATAGGCAGGCGATGATAGTGACAAGAATAGCTATCGGATTACCAGATGACAATTATGGGCGGATCGCACCATGAAGTAGTCTAGTAGTCAAACATCGACTCATGACCCTGGCAGGAGTTATTGACGCCGACTACACTTGAGAAGTTAAGGTAGTCTTGGCCAACCTAGCTCCAGAGCACTATAAGGTCCAGAAAGGCGATACAATCGTGCAGTTGATTATCGAAAGAATGGATTACCAAGATCTACAAGAGGTAGAGCAATTAGAAGAAACTACTAGAGCAGACAAGCGGTTTGGAAGCACAAACCAAACCCAGCCTGACACAAAAAGAATCGAGATCAAAGAGATCACAGTACAAGCTTTTGGAAAATACTATCACAGAGGAGATACCAGAGGAGTTCTCAAATGGATATACAAAGACGAAAGAGTAAACCTAGCATGAATCAACATCAGTACTAAACTAGCAATCCAAGACAAGAAATATCAAAGCAAAAAGAGGTGGAACGAACTGATTCCAAAAGAATACCATCAGTGCCTGAATCTGTTTCCAGAAGAGGAAGCCATGGGGCTACCACTCAGAAGACCTGGAATCGACCATGAAATATAACTGGAAAAAGATGAGAAGACGGGAAAAACAAAGGAAATCTCTTACAAGAAGTTATATCCACTAGGAGAGGTGGAACTCGAAGAACCCAGAAAATATATCGCATAAAACTTAAAGAGGGGAGGGATCCGAGATTGTTTCGCAGTGGGAGGATCTCCAATACTATTTGTCAGAAAAAAGGTCAGAAAGAGGAGATGCTACGTCCACTACAGAGCCCTCAATTCGGTCGCCAAGAAAGATCAATACCTGGTACCCTTGCTTGGAGAAGTACTACACCGATTACAGTCAGTGAAATACTTCACCAAACTCGATATAAAGAATGTGTATCACATCATACGAATCAAAACAGGAGACAAATGGAAGACTACATTCGCCTCAAGATACGGGATGTTTAAATACTTAGTTATGCCTTTCGGGCTGACTAATACACTAGCTTCATTCCAAACTTAGATCAACAAGGTACTTAGCAAGTATCTCGATATATATTGCATCATATACCTAAACGACCTACTTATATACTGTGAAAACTTGCAGTAACACCAGAAGGATATCGGCAACATCATGAAGGCAATACAATGATCAGGAATCATGATCAAGCCAACGAAATGCGAATTCCATAAGGAAGAAACCGAATACCTCAGTTTCATCATCAATCATGATGGGGTCAAGGTTGACCCAGCCAATACAGTAGTGATATGGGAGTGGGCTAAACCAAACAATAAAACAGACATTCAATACTTCTTGGGATTCTGCAACTTTTATCCAAGGTTCATAGAGGGTTTTAGCAGGCTTTCAAAACTCCTCTATAACCTAACCAAGAAGGACAAGAAATGGGTATGGGGAGAAACAGAGCAAAAAGCATACAATGATATCAGGACCCATTTAACATCAGCACCAATACTGGTACACTTCGACCCAAACCGAAAGACAATGATCAAATCAGATGCCTCAAAGTATGTATACTCGGGCATACTATCACTACAATATGAGGAGAGAAAATGTAGGCCAGTATCTTATCGATCAAAGACAATGACTCCAGTGGAATGTAACTATGATGTTGCCAACAAAGAACAATCAGCAATAGTTCAGGCGTTAAAGAAATGGAGGAGATATGTCCTGAAGAATAACTACCCTGTCTAAGTTCTCACAGATCACAAGAATCTGGTACCGTTTATGACCAAGAAGGAAGTGAACGATCGCCAAATAAGATAGATAGAACACCTCATCAAGTACAACTTCAAAATTGAATATCCAGCAGGAAAGGACAGGGGAAAGCCAGATGCTCTCACAAGAATCGTACGAAACAAACCACAAACAAAAGAGGATGAAAGAATCAGACAAAAAACACGAATACTTCTACCAAATACCGATTTCCAGGAAATGGAAGCGATTAAATGCACCTCCGAGGAGGAGCAAGAGATCAAGAAAGGAAATAAAGAGGACAAGACAATTCAGGCAAGAGGAGAAGCACTAAAGCAAGAAAAGAAGGAGATGAAGGGGATTGCCCTGGGGTTATACCAATGGGAAGAAGGAAATATATGGTACGATAGAAAACAATCGATTCCCAAGGAAGAAAAAATAAAGATCAGTATCATACGACAACATCACAACATCCCAATACCAGGATATGGAGGAATGCCTAAAACCACAGAATTCATCACGAGGTTATTCTATTGGCGAGGACTGCACAAAGATATCAAAAGATATGTCAAAAGTTGCAACATATGCCAAAGGATGAAAACGGATAAACATGTACCCTACAGATTACTGAAATCAAATGAAGTTCCCAAACGACCCTGAGAAGCAATCACCATGAATTCCATCACAGACCCAGCTCTATCGAAAGGTTACACTAGCATTCTGGTCGTGGTAGACTGACTGACCAAAATGAGTCACTTTATTGCCACTAGGAAACATATGGACAAGAGGGATTTTATACAAACATTCTTCCGGGAAGTGTTTCGACTACATGGCCTTCCAAAGAATATCATTACAGATCCCGGAACATTATTCACATCAGAATTGTGGAAAAAAGTAACTGAAGAAATGGGAATGCAAAATTGACTGAGTACGGCGTTTCATCCGCAGACTGATAGACAAATGGAACGTGTAAATGCAATACTGAAACAGTATTTACAGGCCTACGTCAACTATCAACAAGATGATTGGCATAAGCTGTTATTAATAGTGGAATTTGCATACAACAACGGAAAACAAGAAATGATAGGTACAACACCCATCTTCACAAACTATGGTTAACACCCACAAATTCAGGCCACACATCATACGATTAATGGCATAATATCAGATAAAATGGATATGGGAAAATTACATGAGGCATTACAATATGAAATAAGCCAAGCACAGAAATGGCAGAAAGAACAAGATGATAAGCACCGAAGACCAGATCTGATCATACAACCTGGAGATATGGTATGGTTGCTACCATTCAATATCCATACAACGCGACAATCAAAGAAATTAGACTACAAGAAAATCAGACCATTCAGAATACTGGAACGAGTGGGAAACTGAACTTATAAGCTCAACCTTCCCTCCTCAATGCGAATACAGAATACATTCCATATATCACTCCTCGAACTACACAACAATAATAAGTGTCTTTTATGAACAATTATCCCTCCTCCTCCAATTGAACTCGACAGAGAATCTGAATACAAATTCGATGAAATAATAGATTCATGCTTCTTCCACTGTCACCTTCAATACTGAGCCAAGTGGACCAGTTATTTGCCCAAGCATGATAAAACTTGGTATTACCCATACAACTTTGAAAATGCACAAGATGTACTCACAACCTTCCACCAACAATACCCAGGAAAGCCCGGCCCAGGTAATGATCACATTCAACCCTGACAAAGTTGAGGAAAAGCCTCCCCCACTATTGCAACCACACAAGGGTTGGGGCAATAGCCCCCGCCATATCAGACGCACTAGCCCTGAATACTCATTCATGGGGCCGACTGACGATGAACTCAGGAAAAGGGAAAAACAAGTACAGCATAACACCATGTCATGGACGGTATACTACGACAACAGATGCCAAACACAAGTTGGCGACAAGGAAGACTCAGGATAGTTCCTAAGAGAATGACGATAGGGTGGTCCATGCCGCGACTACGTCCTGAAGCTTTGGCAACAATGCTTCAGAAATGGGTGCAGAATACACAGGATACAGAAAATCTCGACAGGATATTACTCGCAGAAGGATGGAAGCAGGAAAGAGTTGGAGGGAGAAGATGAAAAGAAGGCTTAGGCTGTGAGGACATAGCCCAGCGAGGGAGGTGTCCAAAACTCCTCTGTAGATATGGAACAGGATGTCAGCAGCCTATACAGGCAAATCCCAGGACTCCGGGAACAACTTGCTCGGGCCACAGCCCCAATTTCAGCAAACGACAAACCAATCGTGGAGCTAAGACAGCTGAACGATAACCACTAGCACACAATCCAGATGGCGAACCTGACCCTAGAGTCAGCAAGGGTCAGATGGAGGATGGCAGGGGAAAGGTTTCACAAGCTGAGGAGAACCATGTGGGCAGCAGGACGAGAGCTAGTAAAACTAGGAGAAAAAGCCTGATGGGACTCAAGCTTAGGGGGAGGGGAGCTAATGTCACAAATGTGGCTTGGCAAGGAAAAGGCTTTTCACATGACTTGTCATTATGAGTCATAGGTATGTTATTGTTTCATGCATATGACTCGTTGGAGTTATATGACTTAATATGTTATGATTTATTATGTTTTACACATGACTCAATTACAAGTCATAGGATGTACGCCTGGTGAGTATGCCTTGCAAGTATGCCTTGAGGGTATGCCTTGTGCATATGATTTATGTTTCACGTGTGACCCTATTATGAGGTCATAAGTTTCATGCTTGTGACCCCTTGGGGTCATATGACTTATTTATTGCATTATAATTGGCTTATGAGTTTTCACACGTGACCTTGCTACGAGGTCATGGGTTGTAGACATGTGACCACTTTGGTCACAGGATTGGTTTATTATGATTTGGTTTCGCACATGTGACCACTTTGGATCACATGACTATGAGCAGGAAGAATACTATATAAGGAGACCAGTATGGCCAAGGAGGATAGGTTCTTCACGCTTTGTTCTAAGTACTTTTCTTACTTATTACTTTAACAAATATAAAACATCTTTATGCTTTTTAGCTTTCTTGACACTATTATCAACACACCAAGACAGCTCTTCACAACCAAGAGTTAGAGAAAACTTACGATAGGCTTTCCCGATAGGAGACAGAGGTCTTGTACTATAGATAAGGTAGGTATAGGCCTAGCACTATAGTAAGATTAAGAAGAAGAAGAAGAAGAGAAGTATTGTTCCCCGTCACCAAGAACTAACTGTCCAAAGAGAAATTGTTACAAATAGTCTTAGGATTAGTACAAGTACCTAAGTACCTAGAGGAATACTTAGGACTGTAAATGGAAAATTGACTTTTGTTTACAGAGATTACTCTAACGGGTCTGGGCCAAGTTACCCTATCTTAGGTATAAGGTTGTCCTACCTAAGCAGCTGGGTTACCCTACCTTAGTGATCCGGTTACCTTATCTTTAAACAGGAGTTACTCCACCTTGAGCATAAAAGGTTACATGAAAGATTGGGAAACATCCCAACAATGTTTATGTAAAATTATATAGAAGGTTCGAATCTGAGCTCAAACAGCTAATCCATTGTGGAAATATGGTTCGATAAAAATATTGCTGAAACTGAACTGGTGAAAGTCCGAGTTCAACATTCCCCTCTGGCCCCAATGTGTTGCCTGGGAGTCCGCTGCAGTGGCCTGGGGAGTTGCTCATTCACTAGTAAAATCCTAAGATTGAAAGTAGGCGAGTAACACTGTATACATTACCACAGTCCATCCAACCTGAAGCTGTTTGCAGGATATATGAGGGGGCAAGGGACAAGCAAGTGGTTCCATGAATGCTTATCTTCGCATGCATACGTCACCAATACTTATAAGCCTACCATAGTAGGTTTGTAAGACACATTAGAAGTCTTCGGGAATCCAGAAAGGACTCCTTTATAGATATAAGCGTATACTCTGGTAACCATCAAGCAGTCCTATGTGCCCAAACACTGTAAGATATCTGGAGACCGTTATATGAACTTCAGATCGCAGTAGTCTTGTCACAGAGGAGGTGCTTGATGGGTGTTGGCTGGGGGTAGCACCCATAGAAGCCAATGACAAAAAGGACTCACCACAGAAGCCTGTAACCAAAGATATCATATCGAAACAAGTAGAGTATGATAGTCTGGGCAGCAAACAATGGAGCGAATTGTTACAAGACTTGCATAGATAAATGCATATGTTCAGAAGGTTCTATATTGGCTTGACTGTCGATCGACTTGGCAGTTCGCCACTAACAAGTTGGCAATACGAAGAGTTTTTCACCGGTAGTTGTATTGAAGATAAAACACAGAACTCCTTATATCGAGACAAGTCAATTAGCCTGAGTGTGCCGGAGAGCCGCAGAGGAATTATTCCTCCGTAGGAAAACTGGTCAACCTATGGGAGATAGGTGCTCCAGGTAGGACTTAGGAGTGATAGAGAGGAGCTGGCATTATATGATTCTAC